AAAAGAGAGAGATTACAGCTTGACTCATCATTTTCCCCATCGGTTCCAAACAATTAATATCATTATTCCAATAATCATGGTAAGAAATTTTAAAATTAGAATTAAGAATTGGTTGCCCTGCTAATTCACAAAGGAGGTTTTTTTCGATTATTAAAATCCCAAACTTCCTGCCAATTAAGTACCTATATTGGATCATTTCCTAATTAAAGAGAACAAAATTCTTACCAACTACTACAAGCTTATTTTCAAACAAAATCAAATGACATTCTCTAGCTAATTTGCCTATCAACTGATAAGGAGAATCACTACTTCTATCCCAATCTCATCAATATTATCACTTACCATTTTCCAACGAAAGATTATAATCTCCTTTCCAATCACTACTAATGAGAATCCTCATAGAAAACCAATAGTAATCAAATATTATAGAGAAATTTAAACTCATTAGTCAAGTCCCTAATTTAGTTTTAACTTCTCTCCTGTTCTCTTTCCATTTGTCATACCATACTATTTTTAACTAATTATGACAAGAACTTATGCAACTAGCCAAAGTTAACTATTGTTCATGCCAGATAATTCTTAATTCATTTTCCGAAAATTTGCAAACGCCATTCATTAATACTCAATTCCATAAGAAATCCAGCCTACATTTTATTTTTTTTTTACAAGCTGAAATCGTGAGAAAATTCTGCGGACGCAAACCATTACTATTTCTTTTTGTCTTTAATCAAACCTTTTAGACGCGAAATTTTACTTAATCTAGAAATCAAAGAATCCTAAACCAAGTAGTGTCCTTTTTGCTCTAGCTCAAGTAAATGATTAGAATGTTTACACCCATATCAATCTCCTGACCTAGACTATGTCCCTTTATTTTATATTTACTCTTAATCCCATGAAATGCCTATGAAATATTCAGACAAATAATATCAATTGGTTATTCCCTTTCTCCAAGTCACTATCTTAATGTCTATCATCTATAAAATTTATACCTAAACACGATCTTAGGAAATTCCTCAAACCTCAATTAATGTTCTCTCTATATTCTTACTCCAAACAAAGTTAAATACCTCATTGAAATTCCTCACATCTGATGTTAGAATGTCCAAAGTCCTCGGATGACCTAACTAATTAAGTATTCCTTTAAACCAACAGTTATATCACAAATTGCCATTTTATAACACAAATTTTATTCATTCAAATTCAATAATTTTCCACCAATTGCTAAGAATTCAGAATAGCTTTACATTGACTCCAAAACTCATAATATTAATCACTCTCATCCTAATTGATATTCAATAATTCCCAGGAGCAAATTTTTAAATTATAAATCACGCAGATTAACACACTTAAGTTAGTCCGTCAAGTATAGTTTAATATATACTCTTAGATCGGTATTGTTAGCACATCCACTAATCTATACTCTAATATTTTCAATCTTTAAATACTTGCGTGTTCTTTTCACTAAATTTGCTAAATTATTTCCAATTACTTGTTGCCTCTTACACAAATTTCAATTCCCAAACAAAAGTAAATTAAAACCCAGCTAGTTACAATAAATGAAAATACTCTAATTACCTTTTACGTTCTAACTAAGGAACAATAAAATATAATTTTTTTCGCTTCTTTATCCAATAAAACAAGTAACCTTGCAAAAGTTGCAACTAATTAATAGAATTTCCCTTATTTTAATTGCTTTACGGCTAGAAAATTAAAATTTAATTCACATTCGTTTGTCATCTCAAAGTTGCATAAGTCCCCATATTCCTTTTTCACAACTCTTATTCCCCAGTTATTTTCTAAACCACTTATCACATGCACATAATATATCTATGAGCTCAACATAATGGGTTCAATTAATATAATCCATAAAACTATTTCCAACTAGAATTGCATATCAATTACAGAAAGTCAGAATTTTCTTTATCTCTTGCTCTCAAGTAGAAGTCTAATCTTTATTTCTGAATTATAAGTACCAGTTCTTCGTCATCGGAATTACAATCCTTGATTATTTATCTATTCGTTTATCACCAAAACATTCAATAGCTCCTACATTATCTCTTTTTAGATTCTAAATTTTACTATTTATGAACCACTAAATTCTCTAAAACTCCACGCTCGCAAGACCGATTAACTCAACTCAAAGTTTGGTCATAACATTATTAATTATTTGTTTATATTCTATTAGAATTATCACCGACAGTGATAATTATTTTTTAAACCTCAAAGCCATTTTCCCTACCTTCAATAATATACATGTTCCATCATTCTCCTCTTAATAGTATTTCACTTTTTTTTTTTATGCACTTTATAGTAGTTATTCCTATTTGTCAAAAATCTAAATACCAATTATCCTCAATTTAAATCCTATTCATCTATACTCCTCACAATTTTTGTAGTTAAATTCTTTTTTCTTTAATATCCATAAATTAGATACTAGATCCAGTCTTTATTTATCTAATTCATTGGTGTAACATCAAAGTTCCATAGTTGAGACGATTAATCCTTTAATGTCCTAATATCATTCCATCAAGTGCACATAACTGTCATGGCCCACTATTTATAATAACATAAATCTTAATTTCTTTTTATGAGTCATTTACTTCTTCTCGGATCATAGAATCTTCTCATTAAACAATTAGTCCCTTATTTATACTTAACATAAGTCTAGAATGCAACCATTATTTTTTAAATATCAAAAGACTAATCTCGTTGAATTTAATTCATAATCAATGTCCTATTAAACCATAAGCGTGGCCACAATCCACACAATATCCGTTACTAGTACATAAGATTAAAGCAATTCATTTCTTTATACTAAGAATCCCAATTTACCTTTCTATAAACCACAATATTTAATAAGCATATCCCCATAGTCATACACTTGAAAGAAATAGTTGATTATTAGCCGACAATACTCTTTACTCCAATAACAGTAAGTTATTTTCGTAATTAACAAGCCACTTGTATATTCCACCACTTATTTCTTAACGAAAACACTTCCATCAATCAAATTATTATTGCAAATCACACCCCAAATCATTTTATCATTTAAAACCTTATAATATCATTCATGTAAATGTACTGATCAAAAATATATATCCCATCCAGAAAATGATATTATCTCCATCAGTTCCTAATAAATTCCAACCAACCATATCATGTAAACTTCCATCACAAAATAGCCAAAATCAATACCCCCTCATGTAAATAGATCCTAATGTCCTTTGACTCCGAATCATTTAACTCTTTTATCAATTAGATACTAGCAACCCATTCTCATATACCCGCTGCTGTACAATACCCATATAATACAAATCTATGCAATTTCAAGCCATGTGGCTCCACAGTACAACATACCATAAATAACACTAGTATGCTTTTTATTATCTTACTTTCAACCTATTAACACATTATCAGCTTATCCCTCTTATCTAATGTTATTCCATAGGAGAAAATTTAAATTTTTAAGCTAAGGACACAATTTCCCCATTAGAAAGAGTACACTGGTTGATCAGGCACCGCACTTCCTTCTAAATATTGTTTTCTGTGTCTCAAAGCTTTAACTACTTCGAAAATATCATTAATTTATATGATATATTATCCTTCCCACTTTATTTATTCATTTATTTATTTATTCTTATATTATTTTAATTTATGATCTGTAAACTGTCTTAGGTGCACAGTGCGTCCACTTCCTGCATTAAGACCGTCCTCCTATTTAGTGTCCTCTCCTTTGTTGGGTTACGGCCGATCCCAACGTAGGAGTTTATATATTCAATTTCCTATGTTCCGCAATTGATTCCCTAAGGCCCAACTTAAATGCTCTGATACCCAACTTTGTCACGACCCATTTTTCGTGGGCGGACCCGGCCACTAGGACTGGATGGGCTTAAGGCCCCGAAGCCCGTAGTAAGCTAAAATTATTTAAAACTCATATGCTATTCGTTAATTGTGGATTCAGACCAATAATTTATTTCACAAATATATCCAAATAATAAATTCTAAATACTTTATTTATTTCATTTTACAACTCATTGGAATAACAATTGCGGAACTCTACTCGCAATAAATTCAAACTATTCTTTGCATTTTACATATTTATACAATGATTATTACTCTTATCGATCCATATCTCGATTCATTCAATTGACTCCACGATTCTTCTTTCATCTATTACCTGGGGAAGGGTTGGAGGGGGGTGAGTATTAAACTCAGTGAGTAGAATTAGATACTCTCTCACCCCAGACAATCATAAAAATGCTAAAATAATTTTATGTGGTCACCCGTTAAATTATGTGATCATCAGTTTGGCACCAATGGCAATACACAAGCAATCAACAAATATTTTATCACACCTTCATATAATCACATCACGTGGAAATTAGGTCAGTGGAGTTCACGAACCCGATGAGCCCGTCCTCCACATGGCCCATCCCTCTCACAATGTGCACCAGGGAGCCAATCCCATTGCTGGCCGACCGGTTTAATCCTCACACACCAGTCCTCTCATTAATTTTTCCCAGTCTCTCTTCTTTTTTTTTTTTTTTTTATCAACAGGAAGGCACCCGGTCGTCTCCATCAAAATCTAGTCATCAGGCGCTCACAACCAGGAGGCCACCCTGCGGGCTCGATCAAAATCTAGATTATCAGGTGCGCCCAAAAAAGAAGCCAACCTGTGGTTTTTCCATAATCAAATACAGATCAGAACAGTAGTGCACACGGGGCGCCGACTCCACCATTTACCCCGGCTAACAGAAATCAGAATCAGGATCCATATAAACAGTAACAGTCTCACAAACCCAATTGTGCCCACTTCATCCCAATTCCACACACAAACCAGGCAGCAACAAATCACATCACAGATATCAAGCAATTTTTTTTAATATCAAACAAATAGTGCAGACGAATATGGCAATTCAACAAAATAATGCAAATGATAACATTTGCCGTGAATGCATGAATGCAGGCGGATGATACTAGTTATCTTAAACTACTCACAGTTCTTTATTGGTCCTCTAAAAAGGACTGCCTTTCTAAGCCACATGCTTCCAGCCTTTGTCCTCGCATTTTTGAATTTTTATAATCCTCTAAAATAAACAAGAAAATTCTAAAGTAAGAATTTAATTCAAAAAAAAATTATATTTCACATTCGTATTAATTAGTTTTTGGTTTGCAGTTATAATATATATGGTTCCTAATTTATTATATTTATTCTAATTTATCAACTTTAAATAAAAGGTTAAGTAAATATTTAATAAATAATACTATAGAATACTAATATTAATAATAATAATATATTAATAGAATAAATATGATTGGAATTAATATAATCTTACTAACGATAATAATTTTAATTCGTACTATCGATTAAAGTCCCTAAAAAATAATCTAATTCCTACCGAATTTCGGCAGCGATCTCCCTAACAATTGGACTATCCACCTGTTAAAATAATCAAACAATTTATCAAGACCACACAGCCCATCCACGGCAATCAATAAATCAAAATTTCTCCCCCTCCTGTCAATCTCAGCATCACCGACAATCAAAATTTAATAAAATTTACAATAACATTATATCTAAACTACCTTAATCCACACTTAAAATTCTATTAATATATCATTGATCAAGGTTTCCTTAATTAATCAATACTAATATTGATAAATCAATTAACTACCACAATTAAAATAAATTAAATTAATATTAATTAACTTCATAATAAAATTAATTTAATTTAACTAAATATTACTAAAAATTAAATTAACTAACCAAGATTATCTAAATTAAAATTAATTAACACACCAAATTTAAATAAAATAAATTTCATACCCAAACAAAATATTATTGCCGGAGTTTGCTTTGATCGGTGACGAAACCAAATCGACTGGGCTTCAAAACCAATACTCAATGGGAACGAAATGAAAGAGCCATTCACTGAAGTCGACCAAAAACTGGTTAGCAGCACTAACCGGAGTCGCGCGCCAGGAGCTGCGTGGAAGCGGCGGCGACTGGCGGTGGCAGGGAGCGAGAGAGGAGGCGCCGATGGAGGTGGAGCTCGTGGTGGTGCTGCCCTTGCTCGATCGAAGGCAGAAGAGACCAGTGTAGCGGCGCGATCTGGACGAGGAGCGGGCGGAGAGACTGCGGCGTCGAGCTGCAGCGAGGTGGCGCGCGGGAAGGTCCGATGCGGGCTGGAGGTTGGGCGCAACTCTGCTGCCTGTCCTTCGCCAAGGACGCAGACGCAGTGAGGGAAAAGAAAGAAAAGAAGAAGAAAAAGAGAAGAAGAGAAGAGAAGAAGAAGAAGAGAGGAGGAGGTGGCGCGGTGGCTGGTGTCGTGGAGTGGAGGTGAGCGCTGGTGAGGGTGGTGAGGGGGTGAGGTTTGGCGTTGGAGAATAAAAAAAAACAAGAGATTTTTCTATAGATGGTTTGGGTCCGAACGCGGTTCAAAATTCGGCCCAAATCTTTGGTTTTTCCAATTGGTTTTCGGCTTTTTCAAATCGTTTCTCACAGTATTCCGACATAAAATATTTAATAAATTATACAAGGCTGTCGGTTCATTAAATTTAATTGGAAAATATTTTGAAAATAAAAAAATTCGGGTGTTTCACCTACCTATGGTGAAGAAAATTTTGGTAAAATTTCGATTTTAATAATTAAAATCGAACCGAATGAAACTGAATTCGATTTGAGTCCATCATACTAAATGTTGACCTCCAAAGGGCATAATCAAATTAAGGATACTTCATGCACTAAGTCGTCGATCCCTTTTTCTTAACTAATAGTATAAAAACGTGAATACAATAATATTATTCAATGATTAATTAATTAAAAATTAATAAAATAAAATAAAAACAACAGTTATGCTTAACTCTACCCAGAATTCCGTTTCCCTATTCTTTTGCAACCTACCCCTTTTCCCTAGCCTAATTGCAATTCTTTGTGCAACCCCACCACAGTGCTTGTGAGTGGAATTAAATGATAAAAATCATGTGTTGTTTGGCAAAAAGAAAGGAGGCATTTCTTCTTTTCCCTTTCAAATAAACTTTTCTTTTGATTTCTTAATTTAAAAAATTGAAGATTCTTCTAATAATTTATAGCTATTTAGGCAAATTGTTTCAATGAAAGATCATATTCCAAAGATTACTTGTTTTATTTTATTAGGAGTCCCAATATTGAAAGTGTTTTTTGTGGGCTTGTTTCATATCCAATAAGAACCGGTAGTGGTAGGTGTTGGGGTTTTTGGTTGGAATTGGCAGAGTAATACAAAGATAATTCTGTTCTCTAGCTTTTGGATAGTGTCTCATGCTAGAAAAATCCCTCCCACCACCTCTTTAAACCTCCACAATCAATCGTGGTCAATACATTTTTCGCGTATAAACAGAACAACCAGCTTTAGTTCCGAACGAGGTTGCAGTCGCCTATATGAATATATCCGTTCTTGATGAAGTTAATATCCTATGCAAAGCAAAGTATAACTTGGGAGTAAATTTAAATTATGCAACATGTTTTTCTTTATAAAGAAGTGAATATCATGTAATAGGCAATATATACATAATGTCATAGTTCCATATTATTGGATTCTTAATTCGTAGCCATAAGAGGAACTAAAATAACAAGTCTATGCATTTGCCCAGATTTATGATATACGAAACCTCTAGTCACGGGTGTTCCGTGTGCCTATTTTCCTATGGAAAATACCGTTTTCCCAATGCAAATTATATTTTTTAATGTCGTTTCGATTGTGTTATTTTCACGTTTCCATTGTTTTTCTGATTTCTGTTCAACATAGGTCAGAATATATGTATTGAGCATTTCATGTGGAGGATGAGCTCAAGAACCAATACCAAATATTCGCCAAGTCACCTAAGGCCTGAATCTACACAATTAGATAGTGAGAAAGCAACATTTGGTATGCAAGTTGCCTGAAATAACGTCGTAGCAAAAAAGCCCTTCATTTTACACTAGCAGACCAGTATCCTGAAAATAAAGTACAATTAGAGGGAGCTACAAGTCCTAGACTTGCAAAAGGTAGAATTAGTACTCAAAAATGAAATATTCTTTAATGCCATTTCCATCCATGACTTATTTGAAGGGCCCTCTGTCTATTCGGCCTTCTCTTTGATGTGCTTTTCATTTCCACTTCCTTTTTGTCAACAAATGCAAGAAATGTCTGAAAATTTGCATGCCGTGGTGCCCTTGTATTGAAGATCCCCCATGATCTCTGACAATTGCTTCAAAAACAGCCTAAACTCATGCTTTATTTACATAGAGGAGAGCTAGGCAAGAGAGTTAAAACACAAATGAGAAAAAGACCCCCAAAGCTTGTGAGATGAAGCCGGTTTGCATCCACCCCCCCCTCTTTTGCAAAACCTTCTGATCTGCAAGCACTTCCCCCCCTAGAAGCCATTTGGTCAATGCATTCTTTGTAGGTCCACCTTCTGATAGTTTCCAGGAATCGCATTTGACAATTGTCTAGAGCCAGTGGCGAATCTCTTGGAAAAGCCTGAAAATGGCATAGAAAGAACATAAAAGGTAATAAAAGATTCTTTTCCTAAGATGTAATTGATGGGCGGCAACTAAACTTGGCTAAGAATGTTATAAAGATTCTTTTTCTTGAAATATTCTTAAGTGAAGAGATAAAAGCACATACAAAATTCCCCATCCCATTTTACTGAATTCTTGACCAACAATGCTGAATTCAACATTGGCTTGAGAGGAAGAGCTCTAATGTTATGCTCTTTCATCAACTACAGCAGCCAACACCAGACCTTTTGGGGACCTGCTTTTAAAAGGGCTTCTAAACACAATCCTCTGCAGAGTTGAGAGAAACAAGTCTAAGACCGACTTATTGGTATTCAATCACCAAGTAATGTCCAGCATGAACCACGTTGGTAGCCAATTACGTTCATTGCTAGATACGCAAACTTTCAATCCCTTTAATGGGTGAAGAAGCTGTTCCACTGTGAGGATTGAGGTTAACTTGCCATAATAGCTTGAATTGAAGAAATAAGAACAACAAATAGCCAGATGATTACTATCAAACGACCAAGGGTGCTCCTGAATTGGTTTCTTCGCAATAGTGAGAAGATCGAAATGCATATTTAATATCGGAGGCTGCTAATGATTTTTATGATAACCAGAGAATACTATACCTCATAGTCAACTTACTATGGGAAAAAAACAAGGTAAAAAAGCTAAACTGCATTATATGTGCACAAATGTTAGCAAATGGAATATTTGGATATGGAGGACATTTGAGACCTCATTCAAATGAATCTACTTGGCAGTTAATATTCCTCATAACTGCAAATTATAATCAATACCTACTATTGTATGTTTTGATTTGCAAGATGAGGTATGAAACTATTCACAAGTTATAACCACCACTAAAAAATCCAAAATAGGGTATACCTGTTGGGTACTCACCATGAGAATAGTTACAAATTTGTTTTTTTACGAAGTGCCAGGAACATCTTACTCTGTGGCTCCAATATCCAAACAACGACTCCCGTAAATAAGGAAGAAAACTGCTGTTACAACCACTCAATTGGAGTGAATGTCCCTCAGAATGCCCAGGCACTAGAGTTTCTTCCTAACATCTGGGGCCACTACAACCAGGCACGGACTCAATATAATGGCTGTGTGAAATCCAACCAATCCTTGTCGCTCGTCAGTCGTGATGGAAATATCACCCTACTTGCAACATAAACCTATATAGAGCAAGAAAACATCCATCAATCAGGAAACAGAGTAATATATTTGAAAGAAAAACTGTTTCCATACTCACTCTCAAGTAGAGACCAATCGCAGAAAGCTCAGTGGGTTTTGGGTTTAAAGTATGACCATCCCCAATGCTTATAATTCAAAGGCAAAGCAAGGCAACATGCCCGTGGCAGCAGTGAAATACATCAATGCAGTAACCCCTAAAACCCGTTAGCGCCATTTACCGAACAAACTCATGATAAAAGTCGATTTGGGACTTCCAATTCTCAAATTGCCTTCCCATTGTTAGCAAATACCCACCCAACGTGGTTTGGATACTGTTTGTCCAGGCATTATTAACACTGTATAACTGTTGACTTGAACTTAATTATTAGGTGACATTGGTGTAAAAAACTTTCTGGAGGATCTCTTGATAAGGGAATAATTAGACCAATAACAATCCTCCTAAATTCCTGTGCCAATCACATTGATCAACTTCATATGAAAGGATGAATGAGGTGGGTCTATCAGAAAACTTGAATTGAGCCTGTTAAACCAGTGAAATTAACTTGTAAATGCTTTGAAGTAACAAATTTCCTCCGTCAAAGATTTTTAAAGCTCTGCTTGTAGATTATCCTTTTGAAGTTTTGAAATAACCTTGGATCAATATGAAAAATGATATGTTCCCCCTTGATTGAAAAATTGCACTAATGGCATAAGCAAGTAGCCAACAAGTGTCATAAGCATATAGTCCGTAAGTAAGTTAACCGAAAAGGTGGCAAACCAGCTTTCCTTTTCCAGTATCAAATTGCCTCCACCTTGAAGTAATTTCTTTTTCAAATTCTGAAATCTGGTGTGTGCATTCGCCAATGTAAGAACTCCTTTGAATATCCAATCTGTTTTGTGAAGGGAGAGGAGAATAAGTGGTCCTATAATGGTAGAAAAGCCAAATCAGTAAACTATCCACACAACCCAGCTCCATCATACCTAAGAAATTCCGTGCCACTCTAAAGCCTTGTTGACCCCAATCCTGAGTAAGCTAGTAGAACAATAATCCTAGACTCCATTAAGGCCACCTTGACCAATACATCTGTGATCTCGTTTGACCTCTTCCCTTTAGGACTCAAAGGGCCTTATACGAGATCTTGCAACGTTTTTCAGTTAAGTTTTTGTCTCCTAAAGCTGCAATTCATCGCCCATAATCATCATCTA